TATCAAATCATTATACTTGCCATGTCCCACACAGGTTCTACCAAATCATTATACTTGCCATGTCCCACACAGGTTCTATCAAATCATTATACTTGCCATGTCCCACACAGGTTCTATCAAATCATTATACTTGCCATGTCCCACACAGGTATACTATCAAATCATTCCCCTTGCCATGTCCCTCACAGGTATACTATCAAATCATTCCCCTTGCCATGTCCCTCACAGGTATACTATCAAATCATTCCCCTTGCCATGTCCCACACAGGTTCTATCAAATCATTCCCCTTGCCATGTCCCTCACAGGTATACTATCAAATCATTCCCCTTGCCATGTCCCACACAGGTTCTATCAAATCATTATACTTGCCATGTCCCACACAGGTACTATCAAATCATTCCTCTTGCCATGTCCCACACAGGTTCTATCAAATCATTCCCCTTGCCATGTCCCTCACAGGTATACTATCAAATCATTCCCCTTGCCATGTCCCACACAGGTTCTATCAAATCATTATACTTGCCATGTCCCACACAGGTACTATCAAATCATTCCTCTTGCCATGTCCCACACAGGTTCTATCAAATCATTCCCCTTGCCATGTCCCACACAGGTTCTATCAAATCATTCCCCTTGCCATGTCCCACACAGGTTCTATCAAATCATTCCCCTTGCCATGTCCCACACAGGTTCTATCAAATCATACTTGCCATGTCCCACACAGGTTCTATCAAATCATTCCCCTTGCCATGTCCCACACAGATTCTATCAAATCATTCCCCTTGCCATGTCCCACACAGGTTCTATCAAATCATTCCCCTTGTCATGTCCCACACAGGTACTATCAAATCATTCTCCTTGCCATGTCCCACACAGGTTCTATCAAATCATTATCCTTGTCATGTCCCACACAGGTACTATCAAATCATTATACTTGCCATGTCCCACACAGGTTCTATCAAATCATTATACTTGCCATGTCCCACACAGGTTCTACCAAATCATTATCCTTGTCCATGTCCCACACAGGTTCTATCCAAATCATTATCTATGTCATGTCCCACACAGGTTGTACCAAATCATTATCCTTGTCATGTCCCACACAGGTTCTACCAAATCATTATCCTTGTCATGTCCCACACAAGTTCTATCAGATCATTATCCTTGTCTTTGTCATGTCATGTCATGTCCCATACAGGTTCTACCAAATCATTATCCTTTGCATGTCCCACACAGGTTCTATCAAATCATTATCCTTGTCATGTCCAACACAGGTTCTATCAAATCATTATCTATGTCATGTCCCACACAGGTTGTACCAAATCATTATCCTTGTCATGTCCCACACAGGTTCTATCAAATCATTATCCTTGTCATGTCCCACACAGGTTCTATCAAATTATTATGCTTTCCACGTCCCACACAACTTCTACCCAATCAGTATGAATGTCCCAAACAAGTTGCACCAAGTTTCAGTACTTCCCATTCATATTTTTGTCACACAAAAGGTCTGCTAAAATAAATACATATATTAATAAAGAATTGATCACTGTTGCTACATTTACATTCATATCTAAGAATCTTAGCATATTAAAGGTACAATAACATTCAAGTCAAAGATTTACAATAATGATCTTCCACTGTAAGATTGGTTTATTCACAAAATACCATAATTCATGGTACTAGCCATTACATGTGCTACACAGTATCCCAGCCATAGTGTTTCACTTGCATCATTTTACATCTCTTGTTTGTAGCTGTTTAGCGACTTAGCTTAGATGTGCAGCAAAATGCCATACTTTATAATAGCATTAGGTCAGTGTTTTACAAGCATATACTGTATTTGCTGTATTAGAACACTTCTTTTGAGAGAACCATACATAAACCAAAAATTGCATTTACTGTATGCTGGATCATTAAAATATGCCTCATCTTGAACAAAGTTTGCATACACACATGCGCTACTAGAGCAAATACAGTACTTGCAATAGAAATGCATTACAAACATTCTATTTTAAGTTGTGGGATACAATAATTTTATATTGGTGTATTCCCTAGAAGATTATCAGCAACTACCATCATGTGATTTCTTCATCAACCATTGTTACAATACCAGCATAGTTAGATACATGTACAAGTAATATAACACTGGTGACAAAAGATAAGTGTATCAACTATGGTGACATGCAATGATGCCATGATTTTAAACAGAATGAAATGGTTAGGGTTAGTTCTGGGTTTATTTTATTACAGTTTCCTTATAAATTTGTAGAGTTTGTATTCGTCATCTTCAAACATTTCATAATTACCAATTGAGTGGTCAAACTTGATAATTCACAAGCGGAAATTGTGCAAAAATATGAATTTAGTATTTCAATCAATTTAATATTTGATTGAAATCATGGGATTTGAATGGTATCGTCATGTCACCATGTCTATTTTAATCTACTATCAAGTTTTAGTAATACACATTTATAGCAGTCATAAATAAATGCCTCGTTTGTCTCAAGTAATGATAGAGCTGTATTTATAAATTGCTGATGATTTTTTTAAAGATTCTAAGAAAACTTAACAAGTTGAGACAGCTCTACTGCAATCAGGCCCACAGTTTTGAGAAGTCAAAAATTTAATTTTTGAATGAAAATACCAGGATTAGAAAAGAATGAAATTAACATTTCTGACAAAAGGTGAACAAAAGCTTATGCAAAAAAAAAAAAAAAAAAATCAAAAAACTATTAGCATGGAATGAACACATCAGAGAAAGGATCACCTACGGTACTTGATGGTAGAAAACATGAAAACATTCATGTGTCTAAGTTTTGAATTGCATGTAGTTGTATCAATTAATTAACAAAAAAATTCACCCCAAAAAAAAAATTAAATATCGAAATCTCAAAATTAATGAATTGGAGAGAACAAAACAAGATGCATGATTGATGAATTTTAGCTTGGCTCACCTTTTTTAAATCCAAAATATACTGTCAAAGTCAAAGTAAGATCAATTGGCATTGATTTTACAGCATGGTGTTTTAATTAAAAGAAGCAATAAGCACATTTAAAAGGTAAAACTAGTATGAAAAAAAGTTTTAACAGCTCTAATGATGATAACAGATAAAATGTATTTTACATAGTCATGCAATAAATTGTAAGCTTTTTCTACGATGCTAAACTCAATCATATTTATTTTGGGCCAGGAAATGTTTTCTTCTCGCAACAACTGTTGCACCTACATCACCCAGCATTTTTGTAATCACTGATTTTAACTCTGTAAATTCAACAAGTTAAGATTTCAAAAAAACCCAATTGTTTTTTCATAACTTGTAACTTATTAAAGAAGTTATAGTTTCAGAATTTTTATGATGTATATGCAATATGCTAAAGCATGAAGTTAAGAATGGCTCAACATTTAAA